TGTGAATAGAATAGGGCGCAGACATTTTAGGGTGGATAATAAGGCCCTTCTTCAAATTAGGAAATGAGGAAATAAAGTAGGAATCTATTTCTATGGGCCTCATTCACTCTAATGTGAGTTCTTTTCCCAAAATAGCTTTCATTTGGGAACATAAATGTCTTTAAAATGCTTCCACTATTATAGGGCATGCTTGACTTAGGAATGGATACAAGGTAAAGAAGGGTGGCCTGAGAAGAATAAGGACACCAGTTTCTAGTCTTTAAGTGCTGCTTTAATTGCTCCACTAACTTTGTTTTGTTATATATGTTCTTTCATTTCTTTAGTTCATTGTCTGTGTTCGTGGCAGTTGATTTTCTCAAATGCTTTGTGTTTCTTGATTGTGGGCTCATCTTTGGGGTTGAGATGTCCTGTTAGACTCTGCTCCATCCCTTTGCATGGTCTGTTTGGGAAAGAGACAATAATTGCCCTTGTGACTCGCTCTCAGGAAGAGGGACGACAGAATATGTCACCTGGCAGGGGCCTTCCATGGTTGATCTCCTGGATGTTGGTACTCACCACTCCTTCCTAAGGTCATGGGCCACCTGTTGTTCTGCCTCTGGTCTGGTTTGGGTCCAGGGCAGAGTCCCCATCATTGATGCCTGGCGGGTGCTGCTGTCATATCCACACCCTACCTGTTGCCTCAGATCCCTTTCTGCTCCAAGTGTATACAGCTGCCAGGTGTAGAACCCCTGGCCTGTGCCTACCTTTCTCAGCAGTCTTTTGTAAGTCTGCACTATAGATTTCCTTTCCAAGCCAACCTCCTTAACTTTTATTCCTTAAATTATTTGCAGCTAAATTCTTTTGTTTTTTTATTTTTATTTTTTTTTCCAGGTCTAGTTTGGACTTTATGTAGCCAAATTTTTACTCTAGTTTTTAAGCACAACTATTTCTAGGAATTTGGAGGAAACTGCACCTTGTAACACACAGTCCACATTTTGAAATGAAAGTCTTGGTTCTGGGTAGGCTATCCAGGTCTCTCAGAAACCAACCCTCTGACGGCCATTGGCATTAGTGTTTATTCTTTGCTGTGAGCAAGATAAGAAGAGGGTATGCAGGTTTGGTTAGGAAGAAGAGACAATTCATTTTCTTAAGGCTGCTTTCTTCTTAATGCCTACATGGAAAGTTGGAAGTTTACATCCAAAAGAATATTTTTTGGTCACTGGGAAATGGGTCAATAAAATACACTCGATGTCAAAAAATATTTCTGTTTGTCTTTTGGAATTTGGAATTATATGATCCCCCAAAATGACTGAATTCCAAGCTCCTGGACTTGGCAGGGCTGCTGCTCCAGGCTGAGAAGCAATTTGGTTCCTGGTAGCTGGAGGATTTAAGAGCACCTGAGTCCAATCCAAGTGAGAAAGAACAAAGCTTGGGAGGGAGGCAGCCACAGAGAGGGCACTCCTCTCCGGGAGGGCCGGCTGAGGGGCTGTCCTCAGTGCAGAGAGGGTTTGGAGGGCTCTGCAATTCTCTGCAGGCTGTAGTGGCGAGATGAAATCTGGGGTCCCATCTTCCAGGCAGAGGCAGGCCCGGCTGAGAAAGATTTCAATCAGAGGCAACTCTATCTCATAGAGAAGAGGGGAAAAGGTTAGTCCTGGACAAAGAAGAGCTTTTTTTTCTTTTTTCTTTGTTAGGGTAAATGTGTCAATCTACCAGGGTACATTGCAAATAGGAATTAATAACTTAAGAAATCATTGGTTCATTTCCCTTTGAGAAGAAGTATGAAAAGATTCAGGAGCACTTAACCATTTTTAAATGTGTGTGGTCTACACAGGGTGGCAGTAGGGAGGTGAGGTGGGAAACTGGGTGTGAAGGGATCAGCCAAGGTGCTTAAACCTCAGAGCCCTTCCCTGCTTGGCCCAGACAAGGTACTCACCTGATCATAAGTTTTTGTAAAATTTTCAAAAATAAAACCGATGTTCCAGTCTTCATGAATTTTCTGTCCATCACCCTCTCTTCATATCACGTGGCATTGATTGGCCAAGGGCATTTTGGGATCTGGCTAAAGGGATTTAAAACTGAGAACATATTTAGTTTGGGTTTAGTAAAATATATCTGTAGTATTGTGATATAGTAAGAAATATAGTCATGCTTCACTTAACAACGAGGGTATGTTCTGAGACATGTGTCATTAGGCGATGTCTTCATTGTGTGAACATCACAGACTAGATAGAGTGTACTTACATTAACCCAGATGGTGTAGCCTACTACACACCTAGTAGTAGTGTATGGCCTATTGCTCCTAGTCTACACACCTGTCTAGCATGTTACTGTACTGAATACTGTAAGCAACTGTAGCACAATAGTATTTGTGTATCTAAACACATCTAAACTTTGGAAAAAGTACAGTAAAGATGATGTATACCAGATTAAACAATGACACACCTATACAGGGCACTTACCATGAATGGAGCTTATGGGACTAGAAATTGTTCTGGGTGAGTAGTGAGTGGTGAGTGAGTGTGAAGGCCTAGGACATTACTGTACACTACTATAGACTTCATAAATCTGTATACTTAGGCTACACTAAATTTATTAAAAATTGTTTCTTCAATAATAAATTAACCTGAACTATCACTTTTTTACTTTGTAAACTTTAATTTTTTTTTTACTTCTTGACTCTTTTGTAAGATCACAGCTTAAAACACACCTTGTATAGCTGTGCAAAACTATTTTCTTTTTTTATATCCTTATTCTATAAGCTTTTTTCTACTTTAAAGATTTTGTATTTATTTAATTTTTACTTTTCAAACTTTTTTGTTAAAAATAAAGACACAAACACATTAGCCTAGGCCCACACAGGGTCAAGATCATCAACTTCACTGTCTTCCACCGCCACATCTTGTCTTACTGGAAGGTCTTCGGGGGCAGTAACATAAATGGAGCTGTCATCTCCTATGATGAGAGGCACTTCTCTGCAATACCTCCTGAGGGACCTACCCTAGGCTGTTTTACAGTTAACCTTTTTTTTTAATAAGTAGAAGGAATACACTCTAAAATAATGATAAAAAGTATAATATAGCAAATACATAAACCAGTAACATAGTCATTTATCCTATCAAGTATTACGTACTGTACATAATCTTATGTGCTATACTTTTATACAACTAGCAGTGCAGCAGGTTTACATCAGCATCACCGCAAACACATGGGAAATGCATTGCTCTACAATGTTGCCACAGCTATGACATCAGTAAGAATTTTTCAGCTCTATCATAATCTTATAGCTTATTAATCTTATAATCTTATTTCAGTCAAGGAGGGCCTTAACTGAAATGTTGTTATGCAGCTCATGGCTATACATATTTGGACTCTGCCCCCGGTTCCTAGCACACAGCTCCTCACATCATTGGAATTTCTGGAGTGATAAGAGTGTCTTTTGGGTATTAATGAGATGACTGGTGGCTGGGGGCCCTAGATAGCCCCTTCTACCATAATTCGACCTATGCAGCTCTCTTGTCTGACTATTCATTTGCATCCTTTGTAATGTCCTTTGTAATAAACTGGTAAGTGTAAATTTTCCCTGAGATCTTTGAACTGTCTTAGCAAATTAATTGGACCTGAAGAAGGGGTCCAGGGATCCTGATTGATAGCTAGTCGGTCAGAAGCACTGGTTTAGCAACATGGGGCTTGCGACGGGCATCTGGAGTGGGGGAGGGGAGTCTTGTGGGATTGAGCCTTTAACCTGTGGGATCTGATGCTGTCTCCAGGTAGATAGTGTCAGAATTGAATTAAATTAGAGGACACCCAGCTTGTGTCTGCTGGAGAATTGCTTGGTGCATGGAAAGAAATATCATACATATGGTTTTAGAAATGTTGTATTCAGTGGCATGTAAGAGTAGGAAAAACATTTTGGTTTTTTCTATTTTTATAATATTTATATAGTATTCAGGCACTTCTGGGTATAGTTATCACTAGCTGTGTGCATGAAGGAATGACTTCCAGGAATGCTTTCTTTTTTAAAAAATTGAGGTATAACTCAACCTATATAAAATTGACCTTTTAAAGTATACAAGCCAATGGTTTTAGTATATTCACAAGGTTGAGCAAGAATCATCACTAATTCTAGAACATTGTCATCACACCCTCCAAAAAAATCCCACTAATAGTCATTTCCCATTCTCTCCTCCACCACTGCCAGCCCCAATCTCTTAATCTACTCCTAATTTATTACCTGTATGGATTTCCCTATTCTAGACTTTTCATATAAATAGAATCATACAATATGTGACTTTTTGTGTCTGACTTCTTTCACATAGCATATTTTCAAGATTCATTCATGTTATAACATGAATCAATACTTCATTCCCTTTTGTGGCTGAATAATATTCCATTTTGTTCATCCATTCATTAGTTGATGGACACTTAGGTTGTTTCCAGAACATTCTCTGTATTAACTCATCCAATATGAAGGTCTAAGGCCAGAGGTGGTATGAACCCTATGAATAGGGTCCACGGTTCCTGATGTCCAGGGTGAAGTGTGAAGGTTATGGAGAATGAACAAATTTGAAATACTTGGAGTCAGAAGCTACCATGCCAGAAGAATGACTAAATCTATCGATTCTGGATTTTGGTATATTTTTTTAATTTCAGAATATTATGGGGGTATAAACATTTTGGTTACATATAATGCCTTTGCTTAGTTTTTTCAAAATATGTAATTTATGGTTTATCTTCCTATTATAAATACTTATCAATCTAATTTATATTCATAATTTTGCATTTCTTTTCCTTAAGAATGCCCCCCAAAACATGTACAGAAAATCCCTTAAAATCAGGATCCACCTTGCTTTCGGCCAATAATTTCAACACACTTTCTTTCTGGTACAACTTAGAGGTGGTTAGGAACTTGTGAGAGGAATTTCCTCCTAGAGAATTACATAGAAAGCTGCCATTTCATTGTTTTCCACCCTTTTATTGTATACCCTTTTCTTTCTCAGCTTGGGAGCATTTCAGGAGAAACTAGCTCATACACCACCTTCATTAGATGTACAAAACCTCACAGATTTGCCATGATTGATTGAATATTTTTTAGCAAAAACTACTTGTCTCTACTCCCTTTCCCTCCAGAGCAGAATCAGCTTCCCCATCCCCATCTGGCTTGGCCACATGACTCACTTTGGCCAATGGAAGAGAAGACCACAGTGACAGTTTTGAGCACTGGCTTCAAGGTCTTCATGTGTCTGCCCTACTGGGAGCTCGTGCTCCAGTAGCCAGTGAACCTTCACTGTGGGTCCTGGAAGAAGGTGTGCAGGAGAGACATATGTCTTGAAGCTGATATTCAGCATAAAGGGGAGTCACCGCCGCTGACCTACACACAGTGAGTAAGAAATAAACATTTGTTATTCAGAGTCACCAAGATCCAGGGGTTGTCTCAAACATAGTAGAATTGCAGTAGGAGGTGACTACTACAGTTACACATTCCTAACCTGCATAGCAGAGCTAATATCATTTATATCCCAGGTGGCAGCTGGGCTTGGACCCAAAGCTCAAATTTCCAAGATCTCTGACAGCAGATCCCAATACATCACCTTCCCAGGCTTCTTCCTTAGCATGCTTCCACCTTTTGATGAAATCCATTCTGGATAAAGGTCCTGTCTCCTCACCCTTCTTCCTTCCCTTCAGCTATAATTTTAAGTACAAGGTATTTCACTGTGTCCACTCTCTATAACAGCATTTTTACCACTGCAATTAAACTCCTTCCAGGTGCAGCCCATTACACTTCCCCAGCCCTCTCATCTCTAGCTTCAGTTTGGCAATCCAAACAAAGGTCTAAAAAAAAAAAAGAGCTAGAGACTCTTTGATCAAGTAGTTACACTTTCAGAAATTTAGCCTAAAGGAATACTCATACAAATATATAAAAGTATACATACAAGGATACAGAACATAAGAGACAACCTAAAATGCCCAACTATAGGATTTTAGATTTAGATTAAGGTATATCAGTATAATGGAATACTCCCACTGCAACATCAAAAGGGACACAGTAAAAATGTGTTCATTGACATGGAAAAGAGAGAGAAACCAAGGTGACTGCACAGTATGATTTCATTTTGTGAACAAAAGCAAGTATACATATACACGCATATATATAGAAGGACATATGCTAATTATATATAGTTATATCTGGTTGTTAGAATGATGGGTAATTTTTATTTCATTTTGCTATGGATTTTTTCTCCTTTTTAAATCATATTTTCTAGTTTACCACAGAGAACATGTTTAACTTTTGTACTAAAAGTAAATAATAAAAGGTGTTTATTTTTGAGGCTCGTAAGTGTTTCAGGTGAATAATGAGGCCCTCTTGTTATGGACCACAGCATGAACTATCTACCTCTTTTAGGGAAGGGGTGATTCTAGATCTAGTGTTCTCCATCTGAAATAAACAATGGTAAAAAAATAAATAAAATTAATAAAATTAAAAGATAAATCATAGGAAAAGAGCAACACCGGTTAAAATATTTTAAGTTTAAACAATCTAAGTTTTAAAAGATCACAGAGTAAGACTGCCTTTTTGTCTAAACAAAGGAAGCGAAAGCAGCAATGGAGACTCGAGCTAGACTTCTTCATAACAAAACTCCTTAAGAGGACTTAGCAGCCCTACTGCCAAGCAACAGACCCTTTGGCTGAACCATCGTGGAGCAGTGTGCTGGAGGAACCAGCTGTACCCATCTCTTCCTGGCTCTGCTTTTGGGGACACCAGGTTGGTAGCTTAAAATCAGCTATGATGAGAATATTGACCCTGCAAAAATCAGGAAATGCTGTAAATCAGGGCTCTTCTCAGAGCAGGAGAACTGATCATTAAACATATACCAGCCCTGAGATAAACATATAACCTTTCAGGGAAAAATCTGGGCAAGCATTAGAAATCTTGGCAGAAATTCAGTCATACAAACCCCTTCTCCAACCGCTTCACCTCACTACCCCCTGCCCAACATAGTGCCCCAGGACTCCAAGCAAGCCCACCTCCCCATCCCGGGCTCGGGCTCCTTAGGCCCAAGCGGGAAGCTTCCCGGGGGCTCTGAGTCAGGCCTGAAAATAGAGTACAAGGAGAAACAAAGAGAAGAATGAAAATATGCCTCCCACCATGCACAAGCCCTGCCATCTCTGAGCACAAAGTGGAACTTGAACTATTCCTTTGAACTTGCAAGGAAAAGGTAAAGGAAATTAAAAGGGCTCTTAATGGCTCTTGAACTTGTAGAAGTGCAAACCTAACTTCCTTTATACTTTTTCTCTAACATCTGTGGCTCTGTCTTGAGTAGAACTGCAGATGGTCTTTTGTTGCTTTTTTTCTCTTTTTAATATCTGGAGAAATAGCTCAGCTTTCAAAGTAGAATTATTAAAATAATTCTGGGTAGAATGTAAAATCTCTCACTTTTTCCAAGACCTTAACTCTTCCTGTAATATCATAAATTCTGTAACTTTACCTACTCCCTGCCTTCCTCGGCTGCACTCTTGTAATAATAAAGTAGACTCCAGGGATGGGATACCTTCTTTTGATTGGGTGTTGGTAGGAAGAGGGCAAGGGAGCAGGAGCAGAGAGAGAGTGACAGCCTGTCTCACTGTCCATTAGACACAGTTGCCATGTTTTATGCTGGCGCCTGCAAGTCATGTACCTCTGTGTGGCTCTGTCGGTGCTGTCTGTATAACATCTACCTTTAAGAAAAATTAAATGTTTAATTTAGTGGCCACATGTAGAGCGAAAGAAGAAAAAGAAGCTCCAGGTTCTGAGAAATCTTAAGGAAAAAAAAAGAAAGAAACTGTGATTTGGTGAAAAACAATGCTTTCATGTTTCCAATATGAAAGTATCCATGCATATTCAAGAAAGACTATGTGGAAGCATAAGAAATAACAGACATCACTAGAATCCCATCATCTAGCCACGATGACTGCTTTCATTTTGATCTGATTTTCTCTAACGACTCTGTGTCTGCATGTCTTTACTCGGATACAGAGCAGAGGGGTAAATGGGCAACCTTTGGAAAAAGAAAAAAAAAGTTGGCATGGTTTCTTTGGCCTATGCAATATATTTTTTAGTTTAAATTTGATGACCTGAGCATGCAAAAATTAAAAGATATCACATTTAATCCAGATATAGGGTTCTTCTTGAAAAATTGAGCCTGCATTTCCAAAGGGCGGGAATTGAGGAGAGATGGCCACCCTCAGAAGGGGCACATGTTCGCCAGGTTGCCATTGTCCCATTCTGGTTTCTTTTATGTGTTTATGCTGCTGGTTTGGCTCCTGTAGGTATTTAAGTTTGATGCCCCTGATGTAGAGTTTGGATTTTTTAAATCATTTTTTTAATCATTGCACTTATTTTATGTATGCAACTCTATGTTCAGATGCTTTGTAGAGGCAATATATTATGTTACCAACTTTTCCATATGTTTCCCTCTGACTGTACCAGTATGTATATAGTAGTACATGGGAAGCGCATACAAGAACAAACAAGAAAGTAACCAGTATTTGGAATATTTTCTTCCACTCTTCTATGCAAATACCCTCTTATATCATGGCAGTCATACAGTACACGCAATCTTGTATCCAGCTTTTTTCACTTTTTATTGTATTATAAATATGCTACTCATCAAGTATATACAATACGGCTAAGTATTTTCCATGTGGTTGGAGATTTAGGTTTTCCTTTTTCTATCATAATTATGTTATGGTGAATATATCTGTGCTGAAAGATTTTTTCCTATATTAAGGATTCTTTTAGGATATATCCCTAGAAATGGGCTATGCAATTGAAGAATACAAATAATTTTAAGGCTTTTGATGTATGGTATCAAATTGTGTCCTAACAGGGTTATCCAGTGTCCTGATTTGTACACCTACCTGGATTGGGCAAGGTAGGTGTGCAAATGTTTCATGACACACTTAACAGAATTAACTATGTATATAGTTATAACTATATATAATGAAAATATATTTATGTGCATTACTGGTTTGATACAGAAACATGATACTTTCTCATTATAATTTGCATTTTTCTCCTCCCCAAGAACCCAACTTTGCCCTTTGAAAAGAGTAGAACGGCAGGGAAGAAGAATCACTAGTTCAAAAGGATGGCCACACCAATGGAGGTGGAGGCCAGAGTTGGTGGCAAGAGTTAGGGGCAGGAACCAAGAAATCCCCACATTGGGCAGAACCAGAGGAAGATGCCAGAAGCAGAGATACCTGAGGACAAGATGAGGCAAAGGAATGGAGGCAAAGGTTTAGACATCAGACTAGGATCCAGACATTGCAGCTAAAGCCCCAAATAGCTAAATCCACAGGATGCGAATGTTTGATCTTCTAGGGCGTGGTGTTTTCAGGTGCAGAATCCTAATGACGCCCATAGCCTGGGAGGCCACTTTAAATTTTCTGCCACGGGAAATTTCTCTATCAGTTCTTTCTCCCCAGTTCATTCCATCAGCTTGAAATTCCTCTTGTGAAAGAATTTGTCCAGAATCCACCATCCTGAATCTTACTCAATTATTCAACCCACAGAAGCATGCGGCCAACCTAGAAACCGAGTACCACAGACCTGGAAAATCACCCAGGGCAGGAAGAAGAAGTCAACGTGGCCACCCAACTCCAGAGCCAAGGGCAACACAGAGAGCGGCCAGTGCTCTCTCTGCCTGGAGTTATTTATTACTAACATGGAGTAAAAAAGCTTTTCATATGTTTTCTCTGTGAGCACTTCATGAAGCCAAAGTTTGAAGGGAAAGGGGAAGTATGAAAACCTGAAACCTCATGTGAATAAACGAGTATACTTAGCTACAGCCATGTGTAATCAAACTTGAAGGCAGTAGTTGTTTCTAGATTGAATATGAAATCTATTTCATTAAAGGCAATTTTATTATTTTCTACCTCTGGATTTTTGGTTTTGATCTAGTGATTTTACTGCCTGGAAAACCGTGAAGGGGAGGATAAAAGTTATAGCTGTCTCTAGCTCACAGTATCTTAATGTAGGTATTGATCTCTTTTTCAGCGTTAGCAAACCCAGCTAAATCCTAGCCTGTTTTTATATAGTCTGTGAACTAAGAATTGTTGTTAGATATTTAAAAGAGCAGAAAAAACCAAAAGGAAAATAATATTTTGTGACATGTGAAAATTATATGAAATTCGAATTTTAATGCCCATAAATGGAGCTGTATAGAAACATAGCCATGCCCATGTGCTTATGAATTATCTATAGCTACTTTTGGGCTACAATGGTTGAGTAGTTGCGAGAGAGACCATATGTGTCCCAGAGAACCTGAAATAGTTACTCTCTGGCCTATTACAGAAAAAGTTTGTTGACCCTTGCTCTAATGCATTTAGAGACATGGCCTTACGTAATTTCACACCGATGCCAAGGGTTCTATCAAGAGTGGGAGGGCCGGGCGCAGTGGCTCTCGCCTGTAATCTTAGCACTCTGGGAGGCCGAGGCGAGAGGATTGCTGGAGGTCAGGAGTTCAAAACCAGTCTGAGCAAGAGCGAGACCCCATATCTACTATAAATAGAAAGAAATTAATTGGCCAACTAATATATATAGAAAAAATTAGCTGGGCATGGTGGGCCTGTAGTCCCAGCTACTCGGGAGGCTGAGGCAGGAGGATCGCTTGAGTCCAGGAGTTTGAGGTTGCTGTGAGCTAGGCTGACGCCATGGCACTCACTCTAGCCTGGGCAACAAAGTGAGACTCTGTCTCAAAAAAAAAAAAAGAGTGGGAGATCTAAGAGAGAGACGTTCTCATGACTTGAAATCAATCAAGTATTGAGCTTATGTTGGTTAAATTTGTAGATACCATTAAATCAGGCAAGACAAAGAGGGAGTGTCAGAAAATAGATTAAAAATGGACGTGAGAAATGATGAAGTTACAGTGGGCATTTGGGATCTAAAATGAAATGCTACAAGTATTATACAAAAAGAGGAAAGCCTGAGGGTAAGCATGGCGTTCTGATGAATGTTTTCACGTGGTAGTGCTAGGTAGTGACGTCACAGCCCTGAGAGAAGGAAACGTGGGCAAGCTGTAGTAGCAAGGACACTCCTGTCAACTTGAGAGCCACACTTCACTCAGCCTCAACGGCCACACTTCTTGGTTCTTGTTGACTCTTTAGTCGACCTCTATGCTGGTGTCTGGATTTTGGAGCCCCATGCTCTAAACAGCTGGTGTGTTTAAACTGGGGAAGAAGGAAGTAGCAGCTTTGACACTGTGGAGCAAGGACTGGGTGTGAAATGGAAGGCTTGGCTTCCACTGCCTGGCCTTGCCACTTCCCAGCCACGTACTTTAACCTCTCTAGGCTTCCTTATCTATGAAACAGAGATAATGTCTCCTTAAATGATTCTTGAAGGAATTAAAGGAGATAACATGGAAAGAGTTTTGTAAACTCTAAAGAACCATGCAGATTTGAGATACCTTTACTGCTGGAAAGCCCTTCTGTGACAATGACTGTTTGGAGCACTGAAGGATTACTCCATACAGCTGTGGAGGTTGTGCACTGCCCAAGGGGTCGCAGCCAAGAAGGCCAATGGCTCAGGCTGAATTCGTCAGCAGGAGGAGCACATTTTTCTCATACTAAGGCACCATCTGCTTGTCAGAACATGCACCCAGCAGAGGGTGCATCTGCTTGTCAGAACATGCACCCTCATTTATCCTTATAAAGGTGCTATAGAGGTTTTATATATTTATATATAAACACATAGCAGCATTGTATATTTCAATGGTAATCAAGAAGTTAATGCTAGATAGTTGTTTTCTGTCTCTTCAGAGGAGATGGAATATATGCTAAATTCATAGCAAAGAAGAGGAGCTTTCTGTTGATCTAAGAGAGTTCAAGCATTAGACCACTTAGAATGATAATAGAACATCCATCTTTGCAAAATCTTTTAACGCAAAATGGAAAACCTCCTCAGTGTCTGCCATTTAAACATCTACCTGATATTCCTTTCTGTTCTCTGATTCTGCCATTTGTCCTGACATAAAAGACACAGAGCCTTCTAAGTGGCTTCCCTGTCCTATACTCACAAGGAAATAAAATTGTTTCTTTCTTTTAAATTTGTATGTATCAAACATCAAACTGTACCACATTGTTGATGTGATGGTGATAAGTAAGAAGAAAAACAGAAAAATTTGAAACTTTTTAGAGTCTTTACAAATGTCTTATGTCCTGTGCATAGATCTTATTTACAATTTTTCCTGACATTTATTGATTAATCTATTCAGCTTTTTAGCCTAGTCTGTAAGAAATGCTTCCTGTATGATGATGCTTCTTGGCATTAGCAAGAGGCTGAGGTTAACAGTGAGTGACAGTCTGGGGATAAGCAGTGATCACGCTACTTGTTCCGAGCCAGGAGTTGAAATAAGAGCAAACGGTGAGTTATTTGCTTCAGCCAGATGTACCTTTCAAAGGTCCAGCATGTTAAATTTCCCTTCTGCTATTGGAGATGCTTTGGAAATTGTGGTTGAACATTTCTGGACTGGAAACAAAGGCTTCCCTCACAAATACTTTGTGCAGAGAGAGGACTCTTTGCTTTCAACGTATTTTTGCAAAGCAATGACCGTTGTTACCTGTATAACTTTGCACCATAGAGGACCATGTGGTTTTTTCAGTAATAGCAAATAGCCCACAACCTAAATACTGCTTCACATGCATTCATGACTGATGGGGGTGCTCCAACACTTGTAATATAGAATAGTTTACATTGTAAATATCTTTCTATATTACATAACCTTTTATTAAGCTGTGTAACAACTCTATGAGACACAGACAAATATGATCCCTGTTTAACAGAGGAGGAAATATAGTTGGAAAGAAGTTAAATAATGGATTCAGGATCACATAAGAAATGAGCAGCTAAATTGGGCTCGACCCATTGTTTTTAGTCAGGTTCTTTTTGGCCTCCTCTCTGAATAATAAACAGAAAAACAGCAGCTTATTTTTGGCTATTCTGAAAAATAAAGAAGCAGATACCACCATAAGATCACATTAGATTCTCAATTATATTAATCCAGTCAACCTGCTTGCTGCTGCATTTTCTAATATCACATGGTTTAAAAATTATTTTTCAGGGGCCTCATGAGTAGAGCATAGGATAAGAGAGGAAGAGCTTGACCTATTTTAATTGTTCTTCATTTCCCTGGATTCAGACCTCTAGAGGTTGTTTTCATTTCATCATCAGCCAAATAAAACCCCCCATATGTACTGAGTGCCTGCCCTTGAGAAATTTACAAGTAGGTCAGGAAGGCCGATTATACATATTCAAAATGGAAAGTATAAATATAATCCCAGTGCCTAAAACTGGCAAATACAACTGTGGCCCCATTAATACACATATCTAAGCCTTGATGGCAGTTGACTGTGAGAAGTCCAATCTCTCCCAAAGCCTCTCTCCCTAAACAGATCTTTGGAATTCCCAAAGATGCACACTTGTGTCCAAGGCCCAATCTTGGCTACCAGTGAGTGACAAAGCCAGTGTTCTGAGCTCCTTGTTCTGACAGCCTCACAGAGGTGTCTCTTCTCTGTTTTCAAGCACTCCTCCCCCTGCATGGCCCCTGTCACGGCCATACACGTGGCCACCACCAAGAGGCCAGCTGGGTTGCTCCTCTACATTGTCTTCTACCTGGGCAAAAGAGGGAAACCCATTTATTCAACAAATTCTCATTAGCATCTATTACATGCCAAGCACTTTTACATCTAGGCAGACCAAGGGTACAGCAGTGTACAAGGCAAAGTTCCTCTTCTTATGAAACTTACATTTCCAGTGGAGGAGAGACACAATCAACAAGCATACAAGTCTGTCAAAACAAAATCCTAAAGAAGCAGAGTTTCCATGAGGGCCTCAGTCTCTTTTTATACAATGTCATCAGTAAAAAGCAGAGGAAGACAAACCTGTATGAGGATAATCACAGATACCAAAGGAACATTAGAAACTATTTTTTTCTCTCTGTGGCTTACTTATTTATTTGTTTTAAAATATAGAACACTTCATGAGTTTGCGTGTCTGCCTTGTGCAGGGGCCATGCTAATCTTCTCTGTATCCTTCCAATTTAGTATATGTACTACTGAAGCAATCCCGTATTTGTTTGTTTTTAATTTTTATGGATATATAATAGTTGTAGTAGAACATACTTTTTTAATTATTATTATTTTTTGAAGAGTTAGCATCTTGCTATGTCACCTAGGCTAGAATACAGTGGCACAATCATAGCTTACTGTAACCTTGAACTCCTGGGCTCAAGCAATCCTCCAACCTCAGCCTCCCAAGTAGCTGGGACTACAGGTGTGCACCACCATGCCTAGATAATTTTTTTTATTTTTTTTGTGGAGACAGACGTCTTGTTATGTTGCCTAGTCTGGTTGCAAACTCTTGGCCTCAAGCGATCCTTTGGCTTTGGCCTCCCAGAGTGCTAGGATTAGAAACATGATCCATTGTACCCAGCCTCCTATTTTGCATTGAAGTTTTAGTTACCCAAGACCTGATCAGTGAGGATTGGTTTGATTAGTTTTAATTAAGCAAATGACTTTTATCCCCTTTAATGATTGATTGATTATTTTTGTTGTATTTACTCAGGTACAATAAAATGCATTAAATATTATCAGACTTCATCTTAACTGGCCAATAAATAGTTTTGAGCAATTTTATCGTTTAGTACTATTTTAGCCACCAGACTTATACCAGACTCTTGATCAGCTCAAGTTTGTGTTTTGTTTTTAATATTGGGGCCATCGTCAGAGATAAATTGTGTATTATCCATTATAGTTCAGGAATCCTTGTGTAAACCAATGAAGTCCACTATATTGGACCACTCTTGATAAGTTACCATGCCATGCTCTCAATAAAATATGAGCAATGGAAGAATGGCTTTGAGTACTTGGAAAAACTAGATTACCATGTCCAAAAAACAGATGACATTTTAATATGTTCAGGACATGAAGCTTGTGTCATTATTCAAGGAGAGTAAACTTAGGGATATCCACTGAGGTATTGTTTAATGGCAATAGATACTGATAACAATCTAATTTTAATTGGTCTAATTTTAGAGGACAAAATCCCTGGGAGAGTTTAAAAAAATCATGCAATGATTCTGGCAGAGATTTACAGGAAAATAATTGGACCACAGTTTACATAGTTAGTCTCATGTTTCCTTATTTTCTGATGTCCTTGGATTCCTTTGAGGCCCTGAGAAATGTCAGTAATAGCAGCTAATTAGTGGGGGCCAATGATCCTATTAAAGCATATAGATGTGTTAAAAGTTAAAATATATATGTTAGTGAGTTTTGAAGCTATATATCAACTTTAATATTTAGCAATATTTAGTCACTACAATTCTTTGAGAAAGACAAATTTAGCTTAGAGTAT